ATGTGTATAAAAGAAATAATCTACTTAATCAATAAAATTTAAGATTAAAACGATCTGATTTTAACATTTTCTCATTTTTATATAAATTGTTTAATCTAATGTACATTTGTTTAAACGTTCCCATACGGTGGTGACTTTGGAGGGTGAAATTTTCATCGAAATGAATATCACATCGAGAAATCATTTAATATTTAAAGTTTGTTAAAAAGTATCTAATGCTCACACTACAAAATATATGTTTAAACAATCTGAGATATAAAGAGAGTGTATTAAAATATTAAAATAATTATTTCACGAATTAACTGAAATTCAAACCAGTTATTTTCTCCATGTTAAAAAGCTCGGAAAGCATGATCTATGCACTTTCCTCTTTGAAATATACCATTGAAATGGGCCTTTGTATTTTATGTAAATACCATTATACCAAATACCAAAACGAAATATTAAAAAACTCGGATATAATATTATTTTCTAATTTCGAGCTTTTTTTTCACGATATCGATACTTAATACCATCTCTAATAATGCTATAATTAATTATTTTTCATAATTATGTATTCAAAAATCGTATTTCGTGTTAAATTTGATTTTTATCACATACGCACACATACAAGCATATATACATAAGTATTGGTTGCTCGTACACATACACTCTTATGTATTTGGTTTTCTTTATATTGTACTAATGTAATTTTATTTTTTTTAATTTTTTTAGCATTCGAAAGCATTGGAGTGTCCAGAACGAATACATATAATTCAGTTTAACAATTGTATTTACTCTTTTTTATCTTCATATTCATCGAGGTAAGCTTTATTCCTTTTTTAAACTATATAAAAATGTATAAAAAGATTGAGAATGAGAATGAGAGAAAGGGAGAATAAGAAAACAAAACATTTAACGCACAGGTAATTATAGAAAACAACCGAAACAAATCATTATCATTTTTTTTCGTGTAAGGAAACTCCGTAAGTTTCTTTTATTCGATTTAAACGTGTGCTCATCGCGTCATCATAAGGGTAGGGATACCCATTGTGCATTCATCACTGAAGAATAAACGTAAGTCAATTTTTATTTTAAACACTTTCTTAATAATTATAATAATTTTTTCTTACAACAATGATATACATAATTTTGTTTTTATTTCTATTTCAGATCATCATGGGAATATTGCAGCATTAAAAGTGTTAGTGAATTGTGTTTGTGAAGTGTTGCAAGTGTTCGTGCATTGCAATCGTACGCGAAACAATATACGGGAATGTTTGATCGTTTAAATAAAATTAAAATCACGGATTAGAAGCACGTTCGTTCGTTCGTTAATTTCAATTCCGTCGCGTTCGCGAACTATTTTTGCAATTTATATATTAAATTAACTGCGACCAATGCAGTGTAGTTATATTAGAGTTTGTTCGAGTAATGTTGTATTTTTATTTTTAAACAGTCGCACAGACTGTTCGCGTATTAGAGTCAGTGCATCAATGAAGATTTTGATACTTGCATTGACTGTGTGCAAAGCAGTCTTTGGATGCAATTGTTGAATCAGTGATCGGGTGCATAATAAATTAAAATCATACGCGAATTAGAATCAGTGTTGCTCGCCGTAGAATTAAATTTCGGTTTGGCGGTAAGAAACTCATCTATAGTTTCTTATTTTTGTTCATAACGCGTTATTAGATACATGCGAGATGCATCACCATGATGCCACTGAACTGCATCCCATTGGAATGCATTGTAAGTATTCATTTTTATTAACATTTTGGATCAATGATTTGGATGATTGGATCATATTTTATATTTTATTATATTATTTTCTTGCTCGTCATTAATTTGTAGTTGTAATTGGAGATGGATGGACAATTCCATCTCCAGATTTGTGTCCATCAAAATCGTCAAAAAGATGCATATGTGTTTAGTTAGAGTCAGAAATATTACAATTTTTGTATTATTCAATTTTGAAGCATAAATAACATTCGGTATATATTACAGTAATTTCTCTTTTTTTATTTTGTCTTTTAAATTTTTCACTGTGTCTTCGTATTTTATTAAATTTGTAATTTTTCTTTTTTATATAATGCAATTTAAAAGTGTTTCACAATAATTAATAGATATTATTTTTTCTAGTAACTTTTAGTATTTCTATTTTTCCTATTTCTTTATTTTTATTTATTTTATTTAAATGTAAAATCACGAATTTAAATTTAATTCCATTACTTTCATTTGATTAAAGTAAATATAGAATTCAATTGAAAAGTGCATCTGCGAATTGGACAATTTAGATGTTGAGCTATTGTATCACTTGATTATATGACTAATATAGTTTTCTTCTTGTTACAGGTGATCATCGTTAGATTTATCATCAAACCTTTTTGATTCTTTTTTATTTGAGTGTCTTAAATTGCTTCATTTTAAAATATACCTATAAATGCATTTCTAGAGGCACAACACGACAACCCTAGTTCGTGTTTGTTCCTAAGATTTTAATGGCTTTATTATTTTGTTAAAATAATTAAACATACTTTGCAATAACGAAAATAAAAAATAAAAAAATACCAGAGAAACAAAATGTTTATTTTATTTTTATTTATTTATTTATATATATATAAAGTCATAATTCTCTATTCAAAATCAGGATATAACAATATGTTCAAAAAATAGCTTGTTTTTATACCTAGAACAAAATTCTGCTATAACCAATCAAAAACTAAAATATTCGAAATCAATGCATTATGAAATTATTACTAGATAGTTGTTACTAGATGCATAAAAATTCCTAAATATACGAAGCTTCCTGTTTCATGTTACAAACCCCATAGGTCAGTAGTATTCTACCTTATGAAAAGGTATTTGTACATAAGTTTTTTACAAACAGAATCCATTTTTGGTGAATCAGTGAAACTTTATAAAAATAAGTGTACATAATATTTTACACAGCTGTTATTATACATTTTAAAGATTATAAAAACAACGATTCAATTATTGTACAGGTAAGTTGCTTTTTATTTTTTTATACTTAGCGTCACGTGTTGAAGATTGGTATTCTGTAATAAGTACTAAGTTGTATGTAAACACGTTTTCAAAATGCGAATAAAAACACGTTTAATTCACATTTGCATAAGACATAAATGCACTACTAGTAAAGACGATTCGTTTCGTTTCAAACAATTTGTCAAGAAAAAGTTGATTTTACGAAATAAAAAGTCGGAAAATTGTAAGGTTAGTAGTAGTAATAGCGGTATAACCTCAAACCATGTGACTTCTAATATCAATGATCCTTTTTGCAAAGAAAGTAACTCGAATATCGACATTTTCTCATTTTCATCTAAAGACAAAACTGATACAAATATATCTAAAGAATTTTATGCAATAAATGAACCTAAATTGCCAGACAATTTCGAGCAAGCATTTCTATTTCCATTAAAGGATCAAAACTATTCATCACAAATTAAACATAGTAATAACAGTAACAAATATACAAAGAATATACAAGATAAAAATATAGAACAATCTGAAAATGATAATAAAAATGATAATATTAATAGTATTACTAGATTTAATGAAATCAATATGCAAATGCTTTCTAAGCCATTGCACGAGTACTTGTTTAATAAAAATGAGAAACATGTGCATCTTCCTCAAGATACAATAGATAGTATTAAAAAGAATTTACAAAAATATGGAATAAATACAGAAAATGTAAAACCAATACCGGACATCGATATAAGTTTACCTCCTTTAAAAGGAAAGGATTTAGAAGAACATTTTTATAATATTGCTATGGAACAAATAGCTCCTTACTTAAACATTGTGAATAAGATTATTACCGTTGTACCTGAAATGCCTTCAAAATGGTTGCTACAAAAAGGTTGGACCAGATATACAAGCGATGGTGCAGAATGCGTTAATTATCCTTTAGAAGAAGAAATGATTCTAGATGTAGAAGTCTGTATGAAAGAAGGTCCGTTACCTACCTTAGCTACAGCTGTTACCAATAAAGCATGGTATGGATGGGTTTCACCAATTTTAGTAGAGAATGTAGAAGGTAATTTTGGTAGTAATTATTTTACTCCGAACATGTTGATTCCTATAGAAAGCAATGCGGATGAATGTGGTATTAAATTAAATAATTATCATCAAAAACCTAAGATCATTATAGGCCATAATGTTTCATATGATAGAATGAAGATAAAAGAACAATATTGGTTGAATTCTACCGCAACACGTTTCATAGATACAATGTCAATGCATATATGTGTTAGCGGATTGAATAGTTATCAGAGAACTATTTTGAAAAGTGAACAATTAAATAAGTCTACTGAAAATTGGGTTAACTCTACTTCAACTAACAGTTTGAGCGAAGTGCATAAACTTTATTGCGGAGAAAATATCAGCAAAGAACAAAGAAATATATTTGTAGAAGGATCTTTGGATGATATAAGAGAACAATTTAATGATTTAATGTCTTATTGTGCTTCCGATGTACTGGCTACTTATAGGGTCTTCCATAAATTATTTCCAATTTTTCAAGAAAGATTTCCACACCCTGTTACTTTTGCTGGAATGTTAGAACTTGGCTGCGCATATCTTCCAGTGAATTCCAATTGGCAAAGATATTTGGAGGAAGCAGAATCTACTTACGAAGACTTGAATTATGAATCTAAAATTATACTCACTAAAAGAGCAGACACTGTTTGTAAATTAATGCATAATGAAAAATACAAAGAGAATTTATGGATGTGGGATCAGGATTGGAGTACTCAAAATATTAAGATGAAAAATTCTCTCTCTCAAAAAAAATTACAAGAATTAAAAGAGAAAGAGAATAATAATAAAGAAATTAAGTTTGTAAGTTCAGAGTCATATCTAACAGATGAAGAAGACGAAGATCCCTTACAAAAAGAATTTTCTTATCTAGAAGAAACGAAATACTTGTTACCAGCTAGAGTACCATATATGGCAGGGTATCCTTCTTGGTATAGAAAACTTTGTCCTAAGCATATTGATGAAAATTGGGAACCTGGACCACAACTTATAAGTACGTCTATGCAAATTACACCTAAACTTTTAAACTTAACATGGGAGAATTATCCTTTGCATTATATTAAGGAACATGGTTGGGGTATACTAGTACCATATAGCGATGATTTAGATGTTGAAACTAAATTACCTCTAAAACAACTATTAGAACAATGTCCTTTATCTAAGTCAACTAATTTTCAAGCTTCTACAAACGATACAATGTTAACATTAAATAAAGAAGTAGAGAAAGATCTTTACAAAGTAGAATTTTGGAGATATAAAAAAAGAGAGAAGGCAGATTATGATATAAAGTACAAAGGTTCTGGAATTTGGTGCGATGTTATTTTAGATAATAGTTGTTATTTTTTCAAATTACCACACAAAGATGGTATCAATTACAACGTCGGTAATCCTTTGGCTAAAGATTTTTTGAACAAATTTTCGGATAATATACTTGCTGGATTAGATTCGAGTGCTACACAAATTTTGAAAATAGCAAGAAAGCTATCTTATTGGAGAAACAACAGAGATAGGATAATGTCTCAAATGGTTGTCTGGTTTGAAAAGCATTGTTTGCCAAATAATTTAAAAAAACATAAGATACGGTATGGTGCAATAATTCCACAAGTAGTTGTATGTGGTACGTTAACAAGACGAGCAGTAGAACCAACGTGGATGACTGCCTCTAATGCACACGTTGAACGTATAGGCTCTGAATTACGATCTATGATACAAGCTCCACCAGGATATAACATCGTTGGTGCCGACGTCGACAGTCAGGAATTGTGGATTGCATCAATTATTGGAGATGCATATTATATGAAAGTACATGGAGCTACACCTTTTGGATGGATGACTTTAATAGGCAACAAATCAAATGGTACAGATATGCACAGTGTTACTGCAAAGGCTATTGGAATATCTAGAGATCATGCTAAAGTAATAAACTATGCTAGAATTTATGGTGCTGGGCAAAAGTTTGCTGAAAGATTATTAAAACAGTTTAATCCTACCATGGCTGAAAGCGAGGCTGTTTCTAAATCACGAAAAATGTTTGCTCTAACTAAAGGTAATAAGGTATACACATTGAAATCGGAATACATTAACGAGGATTTTGAAGATAAGAAATATTCAACATATGAAGCAATCAAACTAGCAAAAGCTTTTAATAAACCACTGAAGGAAATGTTTAACAAAAGCAAATGGATTGGTGGATCAGAATCAGCGATGTTTAATAGGCTTGAAGAAATAGCTTGTAGTTCTAATCCTGTAACACCATTTTTAAACTGTAGGCTTAGTCGAGCATTAGAAAATAATAACGAAGAAGAAAAATATCTGCCAACTAAAGTCAATTGGGTAGTACAAAGTGGTGCTGTTGATTTCCTCCATTTAATGTTGGTTTCAATGAGATGGCTAATGCAAGATAATGCAAGGTTTTGTCTTTCTTTTCACGACGAAGTAAGATATTTAGTTCCATCAAGGTACAAATACAATGCTGCTTTAGCAATGCACATAACGAATCTTATGACAAGATCTTTCTGTGCCTTAAGACTTGGTATGAATGATTTACCAATGTCAGTTGCTTTCTTTGCATCCGTAGAAGTAGATACAGTTCTTCGTAAAGAATCAAGTCAAGATTCAAAGACTCCATCTAATCCTCATGGGCTTGAAAGTGGATATGGTATTCCTATTGGAGAAAGTTTAGATATACACGCGGCATTGGAAAAATCTGGTAGATCTTTAGGATCGTGGCATCGAACGAAACGTGATAAAAAGAAAACGTGATTTGATTAAAAAAAAAATATATATATACCAAGCTTACTTATAATCATTTTACATTGCTACCTTTGATATTATTTCATTTAATTATAAAAAATAATATTTTAAGTTAATAATCGATTAAATCGTAGTATTAGCATTCAATTAAATCTTGAAGAAAAAAACTTTAATTTAATTATAATTTGTTTTGACATTATTACAGTCGTTATTCGTAAATTTTCTCATTGAAAATGTCTAAAGCAACAAAACGTAAACACGTTGTGAAAGAAGTGGAAGACTTTAGTTTTCCAACAGAATCTCAATTGATCGTCAAAGTTGTTGGATCGCGCGGCAATAATCTTCATGAGATTATAAACTCAGTTGGTGAACAATACCTCGTATCAATGCCAGTGAAATTTAGGCGACACATTTGGATTAAATCGGGAGACTTCGTATTAGTTGAACCGATTGCGGAAGGTGGTAAAGTTAAAGCAGAAATAGTCAAGATTTTAACACGAGTAAGTATTTTCATTGTAAATACATATGCGAATAATGTAATTAGTAACACGATATTATTACGTTTTTTTTTGTTTTTTCTATTTTTTAGGAACATATAAAATGGTACCGTGCACAGAAATGTTGGCCATTAGAATTTGATGAAATTAAGAATAAAAAGCAACCTATCAAAACAATAAAAAATAACAGCGACGACGAAGAAGAAGAAGAAGAAGATAACGATGACGATCTTTTTGTAAATACTAATAGGATAAGAACTAATGTTTCTGATACGTCGTCGAGTGATTCAGACACGAGTTCCGATGAATCTAATTAATAATTAATTTAAGATATTAAACCTCAAAAGTCTAAAACTTGTATATAAATTAAATGTATCATTGTTTATAGTGTTACCACCACCAAATCCAATGAATAAATTTCTTATTTTATTACAATAATATTATAAAAGTGCTAATAGTTGTGTGTTATGATACTTTAAAAAATTTTTCTACAAAAATGTAAATTTAAATATAAGATCATTATTTTGTCATAAAAGGTTCGAACAATTGATTTTACCGTATCTTCCTGCTATAATAATATTAGATTTAATATCATAATATTCGTTTAGAAACAAAAGTTGCATCATGAATATCTGACGTATCTACAGGATGTCTCACAAACTTAGACGACCAAACTGCAAGGATTTAATCTGGATCTAAAAAAAAAAAGAAGAAAAAGACAAAAAATATTCTGCAAGGTTTGTTAAAGAGTTATGAACGAATTTTCTATACGGAAAATATGTAACTACGCATTTTCCATTAAGTACATGGAAAGCCAACTATGTTTATCAGCTCTGCATAGATTAGATGTTTTTTTATCATACAGTAATATGTCATTTTCGTATCATTAATAAATCGTTTTATAAAATAATACGATCTAAGAAAAAAATTATAGCAGAAATTTGTATATACATTTTAAGATGTATTTTGTGCAATTAAAAAACACAAATGAAGAAAAACTTGGAATATTTTATGGATAACATTGCGTGCAGTTTCTTTCAAACGAAGTTTTATATTTATTATGTATTTACTTTTTTTCTTCTTCTTCTTTATTTCGTCTTTATCTCGAAATATTCCAAATTGTCTAAAATATTAAACAAATATTCATTATTTTTCTCACATGATGAGTGTAATCGTTATTCACATATTTCTAAAAGATTAATAATCATTTAATCTATGCGCAAAATCGTTAGATTACATAAATTATCATATACACTGGACAACCAGGTAATATAATCTTAATCGTCTTCTATAATATTAGATCGTTTGGAAAATAATTTCGTTATTATTTGCACACACACAAGTTAATCACATTTACCGATACTGAATTTTATTTAACAACTCGTGAAGTCGCTGAGAAATTAAATTTATCGAATTCGACCGTTCATGATCATTTGAAACGTCTAGATTTAATCTCAAAGCTCACTATAGGAAAATCTTCTATCATTTTCATAAAAAAGAAACCGAACTACTTTCCAAACAAACCCAATATAATTAAATATTTAAATATAATAATTTTGTTGTATTAAATAGCGTATTTGAAAAGAATTTAAAATAGAATTTATTATTATACGGTTATATTTTGATGAGACGATTTTTCATATGAAAATAAAATATTTCGTAAGCTTTAGAAATGACGGTAGTACAGATAAGACTATGATATATACTGTATAAGATACAGTGCATAAATTAATCTTAGAAAGTTAATGTTATTTCGAATGGGAAAAGTAGTAGGCATCTTTTATCATCGAAATTCATAGTGAGATACTTGATGACAACGAGTATTCAATGTTATCATTACCGATTATTAAAGTCAGTTAGTATGTTTCCGTCCGTTGAAGAAGATTAGTGTGAAAAGTTCTACGACGAATATTCGCAAAGGCAACACACAATCATCTACAACATTCTAATTGTTTGCAAACGAGACAATCATAACATTCATTCTTCGCATGAATCTATTTCTATCATTCTTACTAATTCACGCGAACGTGTTAAGCATATATTAAATAAAACAAACGGAGAAGAAAGTATTTAGTAAAGTTTGATCTATGGAAAAGGTTTAACGGAAAAATACAACAGAACTAATGAGTAAGAGGATCATTTTACCGGTAAAATGCGATTACTCGTCAGTCAAATTCTCGGCAAACGAAAAATCAATAAATGACATAAAGCGTAAGAGTTAAATGTGTGTAACAGAATAATGAGAATATTAGATATTTAAACCAGAATATTATATTTCCAATTCGATACGAATCTATTTTTGGATTTAGATCTACCGATTAAACGAGAACCTAATTGTTTTTTGCTTGTACGTATCATTTTTCATAATGAAAGATACAAGCTGCGTCAACTGACGTTCAATTTCAAAATAATTTAATTTCTTCTCAATACAATTAATTACAAGTTCGTTATTGTGATACTCGAAGAAAGTTATTCCCGACAAGATGGATTTTAATAAAATCATTGATAATGAAAATGATTTTTTGGACAAGGAGGATATGAAAAATATGACGGAATTCGAGTTTCTTAGAACAGTTTTAGGTCCTAAATTTCTTCCAATGAGTTTGGTATTACCTTTAACTACCGTTTATTTGGCGATCTTTGTGTCAGGAATTTTTGGTAATATAGCCACTTGCACGGTTATAGCCAAAAATTCATCGATGCAAACTTCTACAAATTATTATCTCTTCAATTTGGCTATTTCCGATTTGACTCTACTTATACTCGGTAAGCTTATTACGTATTTTAGGTACAACATAAAATATATTTGACGGTGCATTTAAAAAAAGAATTTTTTACGGTAACACAAGGCTAATGTTAATCTAAATAAATCGAATCAACGTATTAAATCTCTTCTAATAATAAATTCTATTTATTCTCCATCTTGATCTTTTTTTTTTTTTTTTTATTCATTTTACGTAAAACGGACGACGATATCTATCGTTTTGTTTTTAGTTGTTTTACTCTAATTAAGTAAAACATTTCGATGAAAGATAATTTCTGATTATCGATTAAGACAAGTTCGTGACTGAGATTAACTGATTGGATTTTTACGATCTTTGTATACTTTTTCAAATAATCTAAAGGGTAAAGATTACGATGACGCAAATGCACTTCATACAAATCTCATTTCTTTTATTGTTTTATTTTTATTGTCCTTTTTTTTCACAATATTGAAAAGAGAATGATGAATGCTTCGTTTAAAATGAAGATATTTTATAATCGAGATGTGTTAGATTTCAATACGCGATAAGTTTTCTTCTTCTAAAATGTGAAATGAAGATAAGAGTTTTAAATTAATCTTAGCTTTGTGTGTGCTTTGTACACTCGCGATTTTATCTCGTCTCTGTGTTTTATTTATCAATAGTAAGGTTGCTTCTATTTACGTCATTACGAGACACCTCAAATCTCTGTCAAACTTCTATCGCCGAATGAAAATTCAGCCTTTAACTTTGATACTGAATTTTTGCGTTAACAGTTGCTTGTTATTAAACGAAAAAGCATATATGTTTCATTATTTAATACAAAAAATTGGATTAAAAGTAACGACGAACAGATCAACTTTATAAAAAATTTCGATAAGAATATTTGTTTATAAAGTTGTAAAAAAGGATTATCAATATAATTTTGTTGCTACGCGTTAAGAAATATAATATAATGAGATTGATGTAGGAGATTTTTTATTATTTGATTATATTTTCTTGAAATTGTAATCCGTCAAGTTCAATAATATAAAAAAGAAGGTCTACGTGAAAGTTCGAAGGTATTACTTTATTTCATACGAAACGTGATCAAATAAAAAGTACAAAATATTCTCTATGTAGCATAACGTAAACTTTAACAATTTGTATTCTACTCACTTTTCGAAAAATCTTAACAAGAAGAATAAACTAAGAGAAATATAACGAGATAAAATAAGTAAACAACGAATATAATAGTTTTCACATTAATTATCAACTCATTCAAATGATTGTTCAAGTAACTTCATTTTATTCGAGATACGTTAATTAATTGTTTATCTTACCGCAAAAATCTGTCACCAATCTAAAGGGAGAACAAATCTGTTAATTGAACAAACGATAATGTAATCAAAACGTGACAAATTTCTTCCTATCCTTAATTGAATATCGATCAATAATGTATAATGTAAAATAAAATATTTAACGTTTGAATTATAAATCAGAACATTTATAGGTCTGCCAAATGAACTGAGTGTATTTTGGCAACAATACCCATGGACTTTAGGATTAACACTTTGCAAAATCAGAGCATACGTGTCCGAAATGTAATAGAAATGTTTTTCCACAATCTTTCATTTCCTCAACAATCCTTTTTCTAATCTTAGCTTGTGCATATTTTCTGCAGGTCTTCTTACGTATCAGTACTGACGATAGTAGCTTTCTCCATGGAAAGATATCTTGCCATTTGTCATCCCCTTCGAGTTTACACCATGAGTGGATTGAAAAGGCCAATACGTTTTATATTTGCTGCATGGTCTATCGCTTTAATATCAGCGTTACCGTTCGCAATTTATACTAAAGTCAACTTTGTCGAGTATCCTCCAGGTTAATAAAAAACAAAAAAAAAATAAAACAAAAAACTATAGCATTGATTATTATTAATCCGATGACATGACGTCTCGTATATCAATTTTATTAATTTTTTGTTCTTTCTTTCTTTTATGATACACATTTAAATACATATAATTATATATCTGATAGAAACTTATATATTATTCGATAATAATTTATTTGAATATTTTTATTTGTTTAGATTCAGGCAATTATTCCACCGAATCAGCGATTTGTGCTATACTCTCGACCAGTATGCCAAATTTTCCGCTTTACGAGATAAGTTGCATCGTATTTTTTTTCTTACCGATGCTCGTTATCCTCGTTGTTTACACGAGAATGGGATTCGAAATACATAGGAGTACGAGACGCGTAATAGGTCCGATCGTTCACAGTTCGATTCATGGAGAAACGCGACAGGTTCAATCAAGAAAATCAACCATCAGGATGTTAAGTACACCATGTCGTTCCTCATCTTATTATAAAATGATAAATTTGAATAAAGTATACGATAAACATATATATTATTATAATTAATAATAATAAATTATTGAATAATATAAAACATATATTATGCATATATTTGATTTCTTTGTTTAGGTGCTGTAGTCGTGATGTTCTTTTTATGCTGGGCACCTTTTCACGCACAAAGATTACTCTACGTTTATGCAAATGATTCAGATTATTATCCTGATTTGAACGAATGGCTTTATATATTGAGCGGATGTCTATATTATTTTAGTACCACGGTTAATCCGATTTTATATAATTTAATGAGCGTAAAATATAGGGATGCCTTTAAACAAACTATTTGTTGCAAAAAGAAAGTTAGAAAAAGTTTGACCATAACGGCACCACCCGATCTTTGTCGATGCGAATCTTACGAAGAAGCACATTTGCCACGTTTTATGTGCTCTATGAGGTTTGCTATGATTATTAAATAATATGAATTAATATTATTCAATTTGTTGATTTGATTTTTTTAGGTATACGTTCGGCCAAGCTAAAGAAGTATTTCGATTTACATCAAATCGAGATCGAGTTGCACGAAATAGAACTACGCGCGATCGTTATGGTGAAATTCAGAATAACACGAACAAGGATTCTTCCAAATCTTTTTTGAATAACAACGGACATCCTGTTGTTCAGGAACGAAGCAGTACAACATCGGAGAGTACAACGTCAAAAATGATTGTGAAAGAATCGATCTCAACAGCTAGTAGTTCCGTTTGATAAATACTACACGATCGTGTATTTTTCAATAATTCGATAATAGGAGATTTTATTATGAACTTACTGGATGAAAATAATTCGGTGCTAATTTTATTTATTCAATATTTTAAATATACGTTAAGATATGTTACCATTTGCTTTTTATTTTGATTCTTTGTACATTTTGTGTTAATAATTTACTGTTGGAAATATTTTTAAGTACAAAATTGAATCAGTATTACTTAACACGGAGGAAGTGTCATTTTTCTTTTATTTTATTTTATTTTATTCTTTTTTTTTAATTAAATCGATCATTAAAAAAAAAATAAAAAAAAACAAAACAAAACAAAGTCCTATTAAATATTTGTTTCAGTAAACATCGATAATAAGGAGAGAAGTAATTTCGATGGGATATATCCTTAGGAGTTTCTGCGAATCAATCATTTTAACGATAAATCACCAACAAGATTAATTACATTTTTTTTTTTCTACATTAATCTATCGAAATATCAAAGAAAGGAATCAAGATTGTTAGATACAATTATAATTTTATTTCTCTTTTCTTTCGCATAAAATTTCTTTTTATTTTTTATTCCGAATCATAGTAAATTAACTATATTTTATTTTTTCAAATATATTTGCATAAATTCGCAAAGTCGATGATTGATTTTGAATTAGAGCAAAGCGAAATCAGTGAACTTTAATTCGCTTACTCTCCCTTTTCACTCCCTCTCCTATTTCACTGTATTTGATACTATAACATATAGGGTTTCCCTATCAATACATATCCAAGTTTATCCATTATATACTAAATTACAAATCACATGAATATAACGCGACAAAGAACATTTAACACATATATTGAAATTCAAAGGTAGGACAACAAAAATATGTAAAATTCAATCCGCGAACGATTGATTCCTTTGTTTTCGAATGATTGATTTCTAATTTGGCTACAAATTTCAATGATAAAAGAATATTGGTCTCGATTTATTGTTAAATAAAACAAGAAAATAATACATTTTTTATTCATTTTTTTTATAAGATTCTAATGCAACAGAACGACATTTTTTGCCATTGTTATTTTTATAAATAGTCAACTTCATTGGTATCAATTTTTTATTAACTTCAAATCGTGTCATATTGGCATGTTTAAATTTTCTGTCAAAATGTTTAATTTAACCTAATCCATCTAACATATAATTGATTCAATCTGCCACACTTATTAATCATGCTATGAATCATTCGAATTAACATGAAGAAGAATTTTATTTGTTCTGTATTTTTATTCCTTTTTAAAGAAACTGTGAAATTAATCATAATCGAACCTATTCTGATCATTTTCAAATGTATCCTTCCGGATATTCTTTTGAGATTACGTAATAAACGTTCACCATTACCGGTAATAACAACATGCATCGTTAATAATTATATTATTTTTGAATAATATTACGCTGAATTTTAATTAGAAATAATTCAATTTTTTTTATTTACAAACGAAACAATGAATTTGAACAAAAATGAAGAAACTTTACGGTATTTCTACCTGATAAAATCATATTTCAAGTATTCCTCTCTCTCTCTTTATTTTTATTTTCCATATTGTTATATTGATTCAATTATATGATAACTAAATGAATGAAAAATTTATTTTTGTAATTTTCTGTGATTTCTTGAAAATCGATTTTTAATAAAAAAAAATGAAAAAAATACGTGCTATGGAATGTAAAAGATGGTGTTGTGCTTCAATTCAGTTGGTTGATACGACTGACGCGAGCAAAGCAACAATAATATTCGTTTTAAAAAAAAACATTATTCCTGCGTTTGATAACTCGCGTCAAAGAAGTATAAAAAAAACAAAACTGACAGAAAAGAAATGGTTCCAAATAAATCGACGTTCTCGAGAAAATCAATGTTCGTTGATTTATTGTAATTTTAACTGTATAACATCTAATTATAATAAACTTTGTAATTAGAAGTTACAAAAATCAATACGATTCCATTAATTGTCAAAGTTGTATATACCAGACCAACTAACCAGCTTATCTAAATTAGTAGTATCGTGCACGATTTAGGTGAACTACGAACGAAATTTGTCCAGAGAGATAAAGTTACTAAATTATTGCATAAATCGATATAACTTTGCTAACGTTTTAGAAATAAATAATTTTTTTCGATCATTGTGTGCTTCCATATCATTTCATTATGATTTTTTCGAATTGATCAATCATATTAGTGCTCTTTTATTTTTGTTTCCATTCAAATGCAGACAAAAATGTTGCTTTATGAAACAATTTTTTGTTTGTATCGATAATCACGTTACGCAAACTTAATTTTAAGCTTCTAACGTTAATAATTAAAATCGATTTTAAAACGATTATATTATTTTTACTTAAACAAAGAATAAATATATTGACAGAAGAAACAAAAAATTGGAATAATTGTAATTTACTACTAAGTTTAATTCTTAGGGAAGTTATTTTTTGGACAGGTTTAATTTAGATGAACAAATAAAGGAAGTCTCAAATAGAGACGAAACGTTCAACGGATAAATGTATTGTTCATCTAAATTAAACCTGTCTAAAAAATAACTTCCCTAAGAATTAAACTTAGTAATAATATTAAAAAATTTTGGATAAGAAAAAAAAAAATCTTTATTATATTAACATTGTAATTTACGTTGAAAAACTTTTGCAGCTTCTTTATTATGCTCTCGTGATTGGCACGGTAATCCTATTACTGGAATCTTATTCTCAAGTTTTTGAGCCACCATATCGAGGTGGTTATTTTAACGTTCATTGGTTTCAAGTTCATTCACCCAGCCATGCGATAAAAATGGCTATGGTTAACAGGGGAGAACAAATAAAATATCTTTACTACATTCCGTTTGTTTATTGTTCTCGAAAGGATGTGATACACTTTTTTCTGTATAAAATTAAAAATTTAAATGTAAATGAACTTTGATTAAGTCATACGAAAATAATTTTAACTTGAATAAAAGAAACAGATATTATTTATCGTTAATGAATTTTTTTATAACAACACATAACATAATAAATTGTATTTCATGATACGATGATGTAATTCGAATTATTAATGACACGGTTTGACGAAAACTGCATTGACAGTTAAGGCCATTTATGAACAAATTTCGGTTTCATATTTACAGATCTGATAGATGTAGTCACGTTTGCATTGTTTTCTTTTCTTTTCTTTTTGATCGAGAAATGAAACATCGATTTTAGAAAAAAAAATGTAATTTCCTTTTTTTTTTCAGGATTAATTTTACAAATGACAATTGTTTTTTAATGCGATTAAAGCTACCACCTGAAGGATGGTAGTAAATAACGCGTTAGCATCATCGAATACGTGAGGAAAATTGATTTCAACAGAGATTGCATCTAAGAATTACGCGAGAGTTAATCGATAATTTAATTAAACAGTCTTTGGTATTGAGGAAGTAGTAGAATCTGATAATCGATAGAAATAATTCATTATCCTGTGGTAAAAGTATTAGTAAATGTTAAATAATTAATTATTTCCGATATCTGGTTAATTATTCATATCTATTGTACGATTTATTTGTTTATTCATTATATTGAATTCAGTGTTGCGATTACACAAAATATAATGATGAAGTTCCAAATAAATGAGTACAACTTGTGATTAATTTTTGAAATTAATATAAACGAATTAAGGGATGAATAAACGATTTTTGATATAGGTAAAAGTATAAAAGATTAATTAAGGTAAAATGAGGATAAATATAGGATAGAAACCTTATGAATTTTGTAACTAGGGAAAGAAGGAAAGAACGAAGAATAAAATGAATGTTTGAAAAAAATTCTGCTAGATTCTTAAGAGGTTACATGGGTTTACATCGGGAAAAAATAGCATATTTTCAACAAATTTTTTTGTCTATATAAAAAATGGAATTTTTATTCAAACTTTTTGTAGTATTTAAGATACATATTCAAAGAACATTTTCTGAATTTTTGGTTAAAAAATATTTTAAACTCAGCCATTGCGACGTCATTTCCGGTGACCCCACCGAAAAAAAGTGTTCTCGCGTTGACAGCAGAACTTATAAACGGTAGGGGTTTTTCTGTTGAAAAAATAGACTCTTTTAGTGAACACTTAAAACTAGAAACTGGACGAAGGAAAAAGAAAAAAAGAAAAATTTAGATTTTTGGCAACGTTTTTAGCAAGAACATTCAAATTTCGGTAGAATTTGCACCACATTTTGGTTTCTTAAAATTCGATTGTATGAAAAAAACGAAAATCCTTCGTCCAAGTCCTTGTCAATAGTATCACGAAGACGTGTAGCAAATTTCATGAAAATCGGTTTAATAGTTTTCGAGAAATCTTGACAACCGATTTTAGAAAAAGCGTTTTGAGAAAAACGCGTTTAAAGATTTGAGTGTTTCTCAAGGCTCTATCTTTTAAACTACTACTCCTATCGACTTCAAAATTGAATACAATATTCTAGATGAGTTTTAGAATTTAAAAAGATAAAAAAAAAAAATTTGTTTTGAAAGTTCCAAACCCATGTAACCCCTTAATGCACGATGACATGCGCAGGATTGTATGTTTTGAAAAAAAAAAAAAAAGAAAAAAGATACGATTCTCGCAGACTCGCATGGATTGAAAATAAGGGTTGGATGCGTACTAGATGAGGCGCGTAGGAAAACGCGGATGAAAGTCATAGCAGTTAGTAGCTGGCTCAGTTGATCATCATCACTTGTTCACGGAGTATTAAAACGAATTCTCGAAAATCGATTCGAATCGTCAAACTGTACTGTATAACTTCGAAAAATCATTCATAAAAATAATAACAAAATCACAAAAGTTATGAATTTTTATATAAAAATTACTCGTGATTTGGTTTCGTGACGATGTCAAATAAGTTTAACAATTGTGATGCGAGTTGTAATAGAATTTTTTGTAAATCGAAAGAAACATGGACAATTAAATCGAAATATTGGAAAGATTTTGTTATTATTTACGATAAGATTTGATTTGATTCAATAGTGCGTATCAAAGATGATCGAAAAAATTAGGAATCGTTGTTAAATCGATATTGAAAAAGAAAAAAGACAAATTATTGTATATTGTTAACTCGATTAATTAATTCGAGATAAAGGATTCGGTATTCAAGAGGTATGAATATTTCAAGCCGTAACACAATCCCTTTAAGCAATATCACGGAGCTTACGAATTTGGACGAAACAGAGTATTTGCTAAAAAAATTGGGCTCTAAATATTTGCCACTTCAATTGGTCTTACCAATTACATTTGCATACGTTATCATTTTCGTAACCGGCGTATTCGGTAATATAATGACTTGCATTGTCATCAAAAAAAATCCAACAATGCAAACCGCCACGAATTATTATCTCTTCAACTTGGCTATTTCTGATCTTCTCTTATTGGTTTTAGGTGAGTGTGTGTTTCTTATCTCAAAAAATTCGTTCTTATTAATTTAAACAAAGTTCGAGTAACATTGATCCTCGTAAATTGTTAACGAACTTGTTTTCTCGTATACACGTGTACGTTCTCATGGATCGTTCAAATCAAATTTTTCCAACTATCGTCAATAATTTTTTCTTTCTTTTACTATTTTTTTTTTTTTTTCTATTTGAAATAAAATAAAACGACTGGTACATTTATATCGCGAAGTTTTATAAAAAAAATTGCATCAATCACTGTCAACGTCATTTTGAGCGAAGATAAATTTTTCCGGCTAGTCTCGAATAAAGTCTCTCTACTTTATGTCATTCCCATTTTTTTTTTTCTCTTTCTCTCTCTTTCTATCTATGTTTTTCTGTCTGTTTCCAAACTCAATGTTATTATCACTTGAAACGATTCTGCTGTTTCCATTAAAAATAAGAAAAAGAAAAAGTAAAGTTCGGTCTCTATCATTTAACAAAGTTCATTTTCAAACTTTACAAACATTGCCAATGATAACTGCGAACAACTGGTTAATAATAATATTTTTTTATACATTTTCATTTAAAACTCAAATATTTTTCTTCTATTATTTCTAAAAGAGAGAGAGAGAGAGAGAGAAAAAATAAAACTTTATTCAAATTTTGCAACTCAAAGATATCCGAATTGAAAAGTAATTTTATTAACGTTATAATTAAAATATGTTTGTTTTATCTTGTAACGTCCTCGAACTAGTTTTATTTCTACCTTATTTTCTTCGAACATTTTAATATCGCGTTTTAAAACTTGTATGCATTCTACTTAACGTCAAAACATTTATTCTCTTGTCAAAAAAAAAAAAAAAAAGAAAAAGATGTGCCGTCATGTACAAGAATCGTAGCAGCAAATTCTCTTTTGGAATTCAATTAATTCGGATTTTAGATATGATCTTTAAATGACGATTTTAAGTACTCCTGTCGTTGATTGACATTCCATGTTATATCGAGAATTTATTTTAAAAGCACCCACCACTTATTTCATTTCACTCAATCATTGCGTTCTACCTTTGTTTATCATTTTAATATATAATTCACACAAACTTGAAAATATTTCATAAAAAGTAGTCGTTATTCGATTTGAATATCAGCTTCGTTAAAGCAACTCGTTTAAATGATATATGAAGATTCATATAGAGATACGAGAATAGAAATAGAAAAATAAAAATAGGAACGGAAGACAAAAAATATTCGCTAAATGTAATAAAAAGTAATGATGAAAGAATCAAAATGATTGTTTATCGAAACATAAAATCATAGATACTAGACGATAATCTAACTCTTTATATATAGTAAGTTCGTATTGTTTTTTTATTTATATATATATATATACAATTTATTTATCTGATAAAGTTATTGGCGTGGCAGGAAATATAACAAAAATTCGAATCTTTTTCTTATCAAAGAAAAACTTGTTAAAAAAAAAAAATATTTATCGATTGCGTGCGAATATATGTTGTATAAAGTAAATACACGTGCGTAAAACGTATGCGTGCGTGTACGTGTACGCATATGTTTACGTGTGTGTACGTGTATATGCACGTAGATAAGCAATTTATTGGTTTTGAATAATATTCTAACAAAGATAAATTTATATATACATATACATAGATATATACGTATGCGTAACAAAATATAAGAATAAGGACGTAAAGAAGCTTGAAAAATGCATAAATTTCTTAGAATAGGATCATATTTTGTGAAGGCTCTTATTAAACTTATCCAAAGATAAAATGTTCTCTCGGTGAAAAATAATGAAGCTTCCAATTTCTTTTTTTTCGTTTTTGTCATATTATTATATTTAAAATAATATTGTTCTTTGTAAAAATGATAGACCGAGATAATTATTAGCAAAATTACAAACGTTCATCTGTGTATAATAATCTTGACAAAGAACACAATAATAATACGTCAATTAACCCTTTCACGTTGGAACTTTATCCTTTGTCTCGGTGTTTCACAGGTTTACCAAATGAATTGAGCATTTTCTGGGAACAATATCCATGGCAGTTTGGACTGTACATGTGTAAATTACGAGCCTTTGTATCGGAGATGTAAGAATGAAATTTATTTTGTGGGCTTTATGATTATCATCTTTCATCTGTATATTTTTTCTCTTATTTCTTTCGTTTCATATTTTGAAAGGTCCTCTTACGCGTCGGTACTCACCATAGTGACGTTTTCCTTGGAAAGATATTTAGCTATTTGTCATCCTTTACATCTTTACACCATGAGTGGTTTGAAACGACCAATTAGATTCATTTTGAGTACTTGGATAGTGGCACTGATTTTTGCCATTCCATTTGCCGTTTATACGACAGTCAACTACGTCGAGTATCCACCAGGTGATATTATTACACTATATAATTATTATTATTAATAATCATCATTATTATTATTATATTTATCATATATTAATGACTAAATTTGTTCTCGTTTAAACGTTCAGAATCAGGAAGATATTCAGAGGATTCAGCATTATGTGCTATGCTATTACACAATATGCCGAAATTTCCACTTTACGAGTTAAGCTGTATAATATTCTTCTTAATCCCTATGGTGTTCATAGTAGCTCTCTATGTGCGAATGTGTCTCAGAATACAAAGGAATACTCTTGGCCATAGTATCGAAGGTTCGGTTCATGGTGAAACGAGACAAGCACACTCACGAAAGGCCATTGTACGCATGCTTAGTAAGTCAAAGATTTCGATTTCTAAGGTAACTTGATCTATCAATTGAATCTCTTTGATGATGTATAAACTTAACTTGAAATCTATACGATATTTTATTTATTAGAAAAAAATTTAGAAAATGATTGATTGATGTAAAAACAAGGTTGAACAAAAAAAAAAGAAGAAAGAACAATCAAGTTTCTTTAAATCTCATTAAACGTGTACTCGTAATTATAATCATCAGAAAGGATTTCGAAATGAAACGTTTATCTCCGAATTCCACGTGTCGAATTATTCTGTCATTTGATATGAGCAAATGTTTGAAACTTGATTAACACCCTCCGCGGAGATAACATCACTCGTTTAATTGAGAGATAAAATATGATTTACATGTTAAAATCCATCCGTAATTATGATGTTATTTAAATCGTAGCTTAATTAACAGTAATACTGGAAGAAATTCGTCAAATGAAACACGACATACCGTTTGTCAAAGGGATTTCTTAAATTAGAACAAATAAAACAGAATATTGTTGAAGTAAAATAAAACTAAGTTTTCTAATTGTCTTGCAGGTAGATTATTAAGTCAATAACTAAGAACTTCCTGAAAGTCGCGTAGAAAGATTTTCTCTTACATTAGATCTTGAATATAAGATGTAACTTTGTTCGTGTCTTTGAAGTGTTGTTCAAAGAAATTTGTAGTAACTCGTGCTATTTCTAATTCACGTTAATATCATTTAATTTTTTATACGCGCGATTATAACAAATGAAAAATCATATTTTACTTTCAATCGGTAAAAAAAAAAGAAAGAAAAAAGATTAATGGAAAAATGACATACTTTTTAAATCGTATAGTTTTCGATTCCCATAAATATTATTTTTCTTAATTATTATACGTGATCCGTAATAAATGGTATCATATGTTTTTGGTTTTGATTGGTAAGAAAAATGACATATTCATCCGTAACACATATTTCGAAATGTAATCGTATTTTTTATATGTATAAATAATTTAATGTAAAATAGTTTAAACGTTGACCATGTGATTGTTATTCAATATGCGTGTAAGCAACAACATGATATATTTACATATATATCGATCAAAATTCAAAAACGAATACTTCAAAAAATGTAATTAATGCATACGAACGTATTTCATCAAAAAAATATCTGTGAAAGAATAAATATTTACTTAAAGATTTATTTATTTTCGAGACCACTCTTTTTTTTATTATTATTTTTACTATAATTACCATACATACGTATACGCATGTCAATATTTTCAATTTCTATGTTTTATAAATATACATCGAATTCTATTATTAACTAAGATATTTATTTCTATTTATGGTTAAAAAGGAAATACGAAAGAGTCTTTCTCTATTCACATAAATATGTTTCAGTCGCCGTTGTCATAATGTTCTTCGTCTGCTGGGCACCCTTTCACGCCCAACGATTGCTTTACGTCCATCGAACGTCATATTTCCACGATATAAATGAATGGTTGCATCCGTTGAGTGGGTGCCTTTATTATTTCAGTACCACCGTTAATCCAATTTTATATAATGTCATGAGCGTTAAATACAGGACAGCATTTAAAGAAACGCTTTGGTGTTCTTCGGTCAATCTTTCCACTCCTCCTGATGGCAACAATAGTATCACCGTTTACGATTGTGAAAGTGGAAAAGAATTTCGCATGATACGTACAAGAAGTTCGCGTTACAAGAGGAGTATTATCAAAAGGCGGGTTTTGATATATAAAAAAAAAACAAAAACCAAATAAAAATAAAAAGAAAATCTTGTTCTTTCATTTTTCATGATAAACTAACAAATTGTTTTATCGGTTGACGATTTTTTTTAGATATGATTCGAGCGAACAATCGAATATCTCGCGAAGATCTTTAAAAAATTCTCAAAGGAGTACAGAAGACGATGAAAAAAGTTCTCCCATCGAAACTTCTATGGACGATGATAATCCATCGATCATCGCAACTACGAAATCATCTCTCGTTGTGCAATTGTACAAAGGACGAACGAAATGTTGGACCGTTAAAAAGAATAAAAATTCTTCGAAGGAAACGCACATGTGATCCGGGCCTTATTTTCTTCAACGAAAGGATTCGTTTTATAAATTTACAACCAATGATGTAGGAAAGTTTATCGAAATTGGTGAATCGAATGAGACTTCCAACGAATATGTTGGATCTTTCCTATGAAAGATAACAATATATTTTCTTTTATTAATATTGATTGTTAAATGTTAAATTCGTATTAGTAAGTTTAAAGTAAGTATGTTGAAATTCATTAAATAATTACGAAGAATGATCAATTAAAATTATGAAATTGTTTGTGATTCATTTATGTTTCTAGATCCAAATCAACGTATTGTCCACATATTGAATCAGGTATGGATCAAATAATTAACTATATACTAAATGTAACAAATTTTTATTTATTGTACCATTTGGAATAACACATAAATGACAGGATGAATTTATAATATTACAACCTAATTTTACAATACTTAATATTATAATGCAATATATTATATCTTTATAATATTGTCTTATATGTTTTTTGACAATTGAATATTAATCATTTTACACTTTCACGATTGTTATAACATATTGAATATAACAAAGATGTAAAGGGTATATAATACTCAAACATATACGCACACGTTAATGTTTTATGCTGTAAATATACATTGCATGTATAACAATTGTATGCTCCTAAATAAATGGCTGTAATCGTGAAAATGTATATGTTTAAGTTATGTTACGTTTTTCAGAAAGAAATTTCGTTTTTTTTCAATAGTAAATCATTCATACGAAGTTGTGTACAGTTGTACATTTAAAAAATGAGAAAACCAATGCTCTGTTGTATCAGAACAAACTACAAAAGTATCAATATTGAGAAAAAAACGTTACAATGATTCGCGCAAAGCTCGCAATCGAAGTTTTCCATACAATTTTCTTTCTGAATACAACAGTTTATATCTTGCGAATATTCCATATTTATTCATTGCACATAAGATGCTAATAATATTATTTTGTTTGTGAATCGTATCTTTAGTCGACGTGCTAGGAATATTTTCATATTATCAAGTATAGAATATTATAAGGAACACGGAGTAGTAATAACAAAATTTGATTATCCTGTCTTTATTATTTATTACTTCATGGTTGGAATAAAAATCTGTTATTTAAATAATAAAAGATTATTTTACAATGAAGTTTGAAAGATTGGAATATTAAACAAGCTTGGATTTTTTTAAATTTATATAATTCTATCAAGAATTTTATAATATATATATAAATATATATATATTATATAATTTTATCGAGAAAAGTGTAGGTGGCTCCGTCTAGCGAGTTATATTATAATCAACAGATAAGATAATTCTCATAAGATAAGTTAGGTATCTTCATTTCAACTATACCAGCTTACGAAAAAATAATATAATACTTATTTAATTTTTATATACTTTCAATAAATATTCATAAGAATTGATAAAGACAAATTAATTTATAAAAAATTCGGATCAATTTTAATAATTAAATTTGACGATAAAAATAGTTTTCTTTTTCTTTCGTAAGTTGGCAGCACTTTGCGTACAACTTATAACGATACATTTGAATTTGTGTTTATGGGTTTGTGCTTCCATGTGCTTTACAAAAATATAAGTTTTCTTAGATATAGTTCTTCTAAGAAATTTGATTTGTATAATGCAAAGTGAAGCCTGATAAGTGAATTAAATGAAAATAATTAACGTATAACGTTATTTACAGTATTATGTTTTTATTTTAGTGAATATATTATATTGTTTTGAATATAAAAGTTTTGACCTTTTATTAGACATATTAAATAGAAAAAATTTGGTATTACAAAAAAGTGATTTATAATCCTATTGTAAAGATTTAAAGAAATATTTTGACTTAGAGTCATAGTTTAGAAATAAAAACAGATACCTTAAAGAGGATAGATAAAAAAATATGAGTGATTCCAGTGATGATTCTTTTTCGCCTTTTCCTTTTAGCAGAAATATAAGAAATAGGAAATATAGAGCAGAATATAGAGAAGGTATGTTAAATAAAATTAATTATATACTATTGCAAAATTATAATTACAATGATGTGTGTAATTTTTTTTTTTTTAATAATTATACAGTGATTTATTATTTTATGTATCCTAGATTACCAGATTTCATCTGATGTATCTGATAGTATCGAAAATAATACACAAGATAATTTTAAATTACCGATCATTGGTTCCCAAGATTTTTCATTAAAATTATCAGAGTATTCTATAATAGAAGATACTCAAGATATTCTTTCTGAAAATAGCAAAATGAATACAAAAAAGGATTCTATAATAGAAGATACTCAAGATATTCTTACTGAAAATAGCAAAATGAATACTAGAAAGGATTCTATAATAGTCATTAGCGACTCGAGTCCTGACAATAGTTTAGAATATTGTAGTAAAGAAAAGATTAGTACACCTGTAATACCAAAAAACACCTACAAGAGTGCAATAAGGTCTATAAATTATACCTTGGAAATATCTGATAATTCGGATGACGATAAAACTTTTAATGAAAAATATAGAAACGTATCGACAAGAAATAGACGTGTTAGTAAATTTTCTAATTCTATTGACAAAATTAATTCACGAGATAAGAATTATTATTGTACTTCTGATGATAGTTCCAAGGACAGCAGTATGATAAGTTCAGAACACAATAAAAAAACTAATGCGTATAAAAAAGATATTAATCCGACGTTATTAAATATGCGACATAAGAATGAGAATTCGAATAGACAACTAAAAAATACATTAAAAAATGGAAATAGTGTGTATACCCCTGTTTCCAAATATAATTCATTGAGTAAATTGACTGATATTAATAGTAATAGTTCTAAGAAATCAAATACTCCTGTACAGTTGACAAACAGTGATTTAAATAAAATCCTAAAAAATATCAAGTCGACAAAAGCTGTCTACGAAAGCCCAAGAACTCCTGTAGTCTCTAATATTGTAATCAATGAAACTTTAGATGAAGGAGAATTGCATCCAGCATTATCAAGCGATGACAGTTTAATAAAAAGATTTGACAAGCCACCTGCAACAATTATAGATGAAACGAATAGCGATATTAGCAAAAGTAACTTTTCTGAAAGAAATATGATAACTTCGTATAAAATATATGATAAATCTATCAATGCTCCTGTTATAGACGATAAAGCACTATGCTTAACAGAAGAATTGAAACAAGAAATTTGTAATTGGATTAAAATGAGTTCACCGCATTCTATAAGTGATAGTTCATTCACTAATGTATCTGCAAGCATTAGAAATAGCATAAATTCTGGGAACAGTAGTTTAGAAAGATTGGAGTTGAATTATGAAACACCGAATAACAGAAATATAATAAAATTAAAAATCATTGAGAATAATGTTGGTGTATCGAATACAAATAATAAAACTAGTTCTATGTCAAAATCAAAACAAGAAACACCACATAAATTTTTACGCAAACTCAATGAGAATGTTCTTACGCCTTCGAGCGTTCGTCAGAAAAAGAAAGCTACTAATCAGTGTATTAATTTAGATACAAAACAATCCAATAATATGAACATTGCACATTGTACAGATATATTAGATGAATTGTATGGTAATATTTGGAGGAATAATGCAACTGCCTTACTTTCAACTCCTACGAATAAACAAAAAAACGTTATAACAAAAGATAAAGCTGTGCAAACAGAAAGGTAAGTGTTTATTTGTTAAAATAAGAAATAAAAAGTATATGTAATAATATAAAAAATAATAATTTTTATTGTAATAGAAAAGCAACGAGTTATAAATATTATACAACAAAACTAGGAGATAAACAGAATAGATGTGATACAAGTCAAAAACAATTAAAGCATAAAACGCAAAGGAATAGTTTTATTTGTGATAGTTCTTCCTCTGATACTGAAACCCAAAGCTTATATTTCACCGCTCTAACAACTCCACTCGCATCTGATCTTACGCCAAATAAAATTAATACTAAATCACGTCCTGTTCAAAGGTATACTATACTTTTATTTAATTTTTATGAATTTAATACAATGTATAATGCAAAGTAAAATTTCCAAATTTGTTCCTACAGACTCTTTGAAATATGTGATTCTGATACGGATGATGAATATAGTACTAATCCCTCTTTTGAAGTACGAAAGATATTAAATAAGAAAAATTTATCATTTAATGATGAAGAAGGTAGTTCCGATACAAGTGAATTTGATCCAAGCGATGATATTACTAAAAAACGTGTATATAAAAAAAGTAATAAAATAATATTTTTATAAGTATGTTATTGTTATAAATTACGAATGACAAATTTTTAATTAAAAATAAAATAAATTTTACAGGTATAAAAAAAACAACAAGAAATGTAGCACCAACGAAACAGAGAGATCTTTCGTCTGAAGAAAGCGAGCCAAAGAATAAACACAAAGGTTTTTTAGCTTCTCTATCTGATTCAGTACCTCTGATCAATGCTCATCCAGATGCAAAAAAATATAGGCTTGCGTATAAAAATAATAAAGAAGAGCTTTGCAAGTATTTGTATAAATTGTATAACGAGAATATTTTTGACAAGAAGTTACCAGAAAATATGTTGATAGAATGGAATGTTCGTATGAGAGGAACAGCTGGTTATTGTTACAATAAAAAATCTATTAAACCACTAGGAGGGATTCTTAGATCTTCGAGAGTAGTATTATCGACTAAGGTATGTGGCACATCTTTATATACAAATTTTGAATTAATTTTAATTAGTGATTAACGTGAATTTTCCACAGGTTTTAGATACACCTGATAGACTAAGGGATACATTGATACATGAAATGTGCCATGCTGCTACTTGGCTAATAAACGACGTATCCGATGGTCATGGACCATTTTGGACGGCATGGTAAATTTAAAAAAAAATTATTTTTTATATTTATATATATATATATTTGATTTATTTTATTATAATTCGATCTAGGGCGAACAAGGCAATCAAAGTATTTCCTGAACTTCCACCTATTCGTCGTTGTCACGATTATAAAATTAAAACAAAATTTACATATAGATGCATCGAATGCGGATATAGGTAAAAATATTAATATTATTTTCATGTGATTTTTATCCTTTAATATTTTTTATATCATTAATTTTAATTAATTGTTATATTGTTTCAAATGATTTTTAGTATTGGACGACATTCTAAATCTTTAGATATCGAAAAAAAACGATGTGGTCACTGTTATGGTAAATTCGAACTACTCATCAATAAGACAACAAAATCTGGTACGGTTCAAGTGCAAACGCCGAAAAGAGAACCATCCGCATTTGCACTTTACGTTAAAAAAAATTATAATACGGTGAAAAAGGAGAAGAACTTGAAACATGCTGAGGTGATGAAAGTTTTAGGCCAAAAGTTTTCGGCAATTAAAATAACCAAGAAAAACGTTAACGATGATTGACAATAACAAAGATTCGTTCGAGTGAACGTATATTCTTTGTAGTTTTTTAAAAAGTTTTTCATAACTTTATGCATATTTTTTAATTACGTTTTTAATCTTACCATTGCAGGGACGACACATGTTAAGATAAGAATTTTGTATGTAAATTTAAGAAAAATATAATAAAGAATACGTATAAGAGACTATGTTTTGAATCTCGGTAAATCTTATTATAAAATAAAATTAAATATTACAATAATCAATTAAAACACTTAATCAAATATATTAAGTCATCGCCAATGGCAATACAAAACAAATGGTTCATTGTTTTGCACCAATCGGAATTTCAGAAAACCTTATGATGAATGCATATGATGCGTCAAAGTGCATCAGTGTATTTCCAAACATAATGGACCAATCAATCATCGTCATAAATGATAAAATCATTTATTATTATTATTATTATTATTATTATTTACTCTAACATCTCATTTAAGTATGACTCGTTAGAAAAATGTAAGGAAGAAAATATTATAAAAAAAGAAAGAGGGGAAAATGCAATTGAAGAAATTCAAAATTGGCGCGCGTCCCAGTCGCTGCAGTCGCATCGAATAATAGAAAAGTGCAGGGATATTAGTAAGAAAAAAAAGAAACTAGAAAATGAATAGGGGCGCAAGCGCATCCGATATTGGCGGCGACGGCGGGGGCGGGGGCGACAGTGGTATCGGCGTCAGCAGCGCACTCTAAAAACAGTCGTGCCGAAGATGGCGACGTGCGAGTGGTGGTGTCGGTGGAGTGTTTAAGAAAAGAGAAAGGGACCATGTTGTCGCCGCGGCCAACGCATTGTTTCCCGTGATTCGCAATCGAGCTCGGTGCAAATGTAGGAATGTCAGAGGTTAAACGGGTACCCCTGCAAACCCTGGAGTTTCCGGAGTCCCTGGGCCACGCCGCGAAGAAGGAGAAAAAGGGTGAGAAGGGCAAACAGCTTGCGCCCTCCTTCCGTTTTACGCTCACTTTGCCAGAGTCGAACGAGAAGGCATGCCCCGAGTTCAACTACGCGCAGCTTTACAAAGCAGCCGAGGTTAGTTAATCTTATTCGTTATTTTACTTTTCAATTATATCTTTACGGGGACAGGTAAAAAAAAGTTACGCTCTTGACCGCGTGCCTCGATAAGGGCACAACGCACCGGCCGCATTTATCTTTATCTCTATCTCTGTCTCTGCCTATCTTCCTTCCTTCTTTCCCTCTCTCTCTCTCTCTCTCTCTCTCTTAACGACTTTGAAGAAGAAAGTGCAAAAATACGAATGGTTTGGCGTCGGGAGGGCGACTTACAACGATGCCAGATGCATCGGCATGCAACCGCTCTCGATAACGACAACTACTGTCACGCGTCCTTGTTGCCTCACGAGATCTCTCAATGACGTTTATTCCTTTCTTCGATATGTCCTGTCTCCTCTCCTATATGTATGCTTGCAACTAACGAGAAAAGAGATACTACTAATCGATTATTATAGTCTCTCCGACATTTGTATCAAATTTTCTTTTTTTTTTTTTTTCCTTTTTCTTTTTTTTTTTTACGAAATATTCTCAAACACAGTTCGCGTGTAATTATCAAATAACATATTAGAACTAATAAACGCGTCGGTGATATTAATTTATATAAAATTTCATTTTAATTTCTAAATAACATCCTAGAGAATTATTCCTTCACTTCGAGATCACTACAAAATCATCCATTTTAGTTACCAACTTCTCTACTCCGAAAGGAGAGGAAAGCCCGAGAATACAACGTTACAAGCCGCCGACATTGCAATTCCTATTAACGATACTACTTTCTCTATTATTCTTAAAAAAATATCCTGTTTATATATGCCACATACATTTATCCTACATATAATAATAATAATCATTTTTATCATTAAAAAGTATAAAAATCATAATAACAACAACACCCAACAACAATAATAATAATGTTTATACAGAACAATGTGAAGACAACGTTATCATATGTATATATATAAATTATATATATCGGAACAATATGTTCCTAGATACATTCTTTCTCTCCTCTCCTCTCCTCTCCTCTCCTTCTCGTATATCTTTCTCCCTCTCTCCTTTTTTTTTTTTTTTTTTTTTTACTGCGCTACACTGGAAACTCGTGATCGTCGACACGTATCGAGAGCGCATGTATAAGAACACGACTTGACCTCTCGAGACATATGTCATGCGTTCTAACTGCATGGCTTTTTAGTTTTCGTACCCCCAATCCCCCCTCCTCCTCCTCTATAATTTTTCTATTCATATTTTTTTTTCCTCATTGAAAGAAAGAGAGAGACAGAACCGAAAATTTCCCACGTTTAAGCGCGCGCGCGCCATTTATTTGTTTCTTTGCGTTAGAGTTTGGTGGGTTCTGGGGGGGGGGTTGGCGGGAGGTTTACGAATAATATTTCAAGTAAAAGATAGTTAATTTGTGGAATATTTTATTCACGTACGAGTTTCATCGACTAACACACGAGGTTTCCTTCTCCTGTTCGTTTATGAATTTATACAATGATGCGCGCGCGAGATTGAAGTATATACACATATACACATATGTTTTTTATGATAGGCTCTTTCTCTGTTAACACACTGTCTCTTTGTTCGTCGTCGAGACAATGAATGCACGTTGGTGACCACTTTCATACGTGTGTGTGTGTGTGTTTGTTTGATCGAACGACGACGCTCTCTTTCCTTTCATTTTTCTTTCCGACTTTTTAACCATTTTTTCCTTATTCTTTTTTTGTTTACTTATTTTTAAAGTTAATTAATAATTAATGTATTTCTGTTTCCTGTGTCTCTTCTTTTTATTTTTAGTTTGATTTAATTTACAGACAATATGTTGCGTACGTACATGCGAGTGTGTGTGTGTGTATGTATGGAAAAGAAACAGCTTTCATAACAGTATATGTAAAAATTATGATTCACGTTACGGTCATAGTTTCATAAGAAAAGGATAAAAGATACGATAAGACTGGTTTTAGCCAAGCCTATTATTCTAATGTACCATAGATTTTTGTTTAACATATACAAGGCTAAATAATAGTTAATATATACGTAGGTACAAACCCAACGGTGGGGGATAAATTACCTTCTCCCCTCTTCTTACTTTTGTTCCCCTCTTTTCCCGCCATCTCGGTCGATCATTCTTTCAACGTTGCATCTATACCAACACCATAAACGCATAACCGTCGCATGACACGTATACATACTTTTCTTTCTCTCGATTACAAGAGTGAGCGAGAGAGAAGTGTATATGTGTGTGCGTGAGAGAGAGAGAGAGACAGAATGGTCTTTTGTCGTGATAGTTATCGATTCACCACCGCATAGTGGTTAGTATCCTTTCGCAAGCTGCCCTATGGATCTTCTCTTCCTCTTATCTTTCTATCTTCCTTTTTTTCTTCCTTCCTTCCTTCCTTCTTTCCTTTCGCGCCTTCTTTCACTACGCAACATGGATTTTTGAAATTCTTTATATTCCTATAGGACATTTACCCCGTCTACTACGAGACCCTCCTCCCCAATAATATTGTATTGTACCTACTTGAAAGGACAGCAGTAGGGGAAGTACTTTTTTTTATTCTTTATACGCACCCTTCGTAGCTCTCTCTTCAAAGATTCATCCCTTCATTTGAAAAAAAATAAGATCTTATCATTTTTTGAAATCGTTATACACATTTTTAAATACACCATAAATGAATGTTCTTGTATGTTTAATTTATTTTTTGATTTATTTTTTGATTTATTTTGTTGTGTATATATTTTTAGGTATATTGTTGAATTGGTCATACTCTGTTTTGTTTAATTTCATTTTGTTTTGTTATACCTGCGACTCTGATGGTTTGAATTTGTAACTTGTTGATGATAATATTATCTCTGAAAACGGTCACTCAACGTGGCGTCCCTGTATTAGGAGAACAAAATGCTGGAAGAGGTTGCTCACGTTTAGCGTAGAACAAGCAAGCAAGCAAGGTATACGCCGTTGTACATCATAGGTTTATGTTTCACCTGAAACGTGTTCTCCTGATATCATCGTACCTTTTTCGCATCGTTTCAAAGTTTCATCTTGTCGCTTTCTTCTTTTTTTTATCTTCCTTTCTTATTATTTTCCATGAATTGTTTAAGATTTTTGGAAACAGTGTTTGTTCTCCAATGTATACAATAAATCTCACTTTTGTATAATTTATACTTATCGATTTAATTGATAATCTGATTGATAGAATAATTATGTATGTTTAAAATGAATTAATGGGAAACTTTGGGAATTTATTTGCTTATGTTTAAAATATACGAACAGCTGTGTGTCCTATTTATTCACAATTCTGAAATAATTGAAAATTAAAGAAAATGATAAATGATGATGATTTTATACTCTGCGATAATATATCGATTGTATTTATTTATGTTGATTTAAAAGAAAAAGCGAAGAAAAGAACAAAAAGGAGGAGATGAGAATACGACGAATGGGCTGGATCCCTACGACGATGATGACGAAGATAAACTTAAGGATATGGCGAGAAGATTCGAGGCCAAATACGTATGTATTTTTGCAGAGATTAATTTAACAAACTAACCAAAATTCCGTACACAATTGAAATATAATTGTTTGAATTTTTGATGATATAGGTTCATAGGGAACTTGGAAATGAAAAGAAGTAGAACTTAATTTAATTAAGTTGGACGTTTCGTCCCTTTATATTGGGACTTCTTCAGCAACTTAATCTTTAAAGCTCAGAGTTTTGTTGAGGGTTTTTGAATAATAACGATCAAATTAACGAAGTTTAGATGTATTGTGTTTGGAATATTATAAAGAGGAAATGTATGTCGAAATAAAAAAGACGCTGAGCTTTAAAGATTAAGTTGCTGAATAAGTCCCAATATAAAGGGACGAAACGTCCAACTTAATTAAATTAAGTTCTACTTCTTTTCATGTCCAAGTTTCCTATGAACCTATATCATCAAAAATTATAATTTTGAACGAGAGAAAATATTGAATAAATTGTTTGAATATTTCATATTATTTTAGGGTACGGCCACTTTGGGAAAGAAAAGACACAAGTATGATGATTATGTGGATTTGGGTGCAGGATACGATGAGAACGATTCCTTCATTGACAATACGGATGCTGTGAGTGATCATTTTTGTTTTTCATATTAAACATTACATTGTTTACTATTATTTTTTGCCTTTTTAAAAATTTTTATTCATCGATTGGGGTGGTGTTTTTCCAGTACGATGAAATTGTGCCAGAAGAGATGACCACTGCTCATGGGGGTTTCTACATAAATTGTGGTGCCCTAGAATTCAAAGCTGCTGAAAGGCATTCCTTAGTTCACAATAACAACAATAATAAAAGTAACAATGATGAAGATGAAAGTAGCGATAGCAGCGAAGAAGAAACGGAAGATGTGGATAGTCCAAAGAGGGCGGATAAAAGAAACCTTAGTTCGTCGGAAGATGATGAAGTAGATGACATGTCAGATCATCCGAGAAAAGTAAATTAAATCAATTTTCTCCCCAATTTAATTTCACATTAAGTTAAATATTTTCCTTTATTACGATTTATTTCATCCATGAAGAAGCAGAAAATCGATGAAAATGGAGATAAGAAATCCAACCATGAAAATGTTATCAAGAAGAAGAAAAAGAAGCCACAGAATCATCAAGCGCAAGATCAACGTTCGAATTCTCAGCAGGAAGCCGAAAGGCGGAAAGAAAAGGGGGAAACGACAGATGCCGAGGGTGGTGGTACAGGTATATTCATAGAAAATTTATTGTTTAAATATTTCTGTTTTTTTTTTTTTTTTTCTCTCTCTCTCTCCCCAAATACATGGTTTAAGAATTTACATTTAGATATCCCTGTTTCTTATATTTTTTTTTTATTTTTTTTTTATTTTTTTAAAGAAGTGTCAGAAGATCAAGAGGAAAAGAAAAAGCCTGATAAAGAATTACAAAAGACTAAAGCTACGATGGAGAAAAAATTTGATATTAAAAAATTTGAGAAAAAGCCATCGTCCACCAATAGTAGTAATGGGTGTGATGCGAAGAAAATAGATTTAAAGAAACTTCCTGGTAAAGACAGTAATATCGACGATGCTATAGAAAGTGTCGTTAATGCAGCTAGGGTCGAAGACGAGTCGAGTCAGGATTCTACGGATTCAGGAAAATCTCGTGGTAATCTTGGTACAGACTCGGAGTGCGATGATATTGACAAAGAAGAAGCACCATTACCGGACGGCCTTCCAGAAGATATCAAGGAAATCGTTAACAAATTGAAGGTACACGCGGAAAACAGCAAAGAGGGTAAAAGCAAGTTTTTCAACCCTTCGGTCAACTCTGCTTTGTTTAGGTGAGTCCTTTTTTTCTAACATGGATATTACAATTTTCAAAGAGAGAAACAGAGAAGGAAAGATAATGTATAATTATTTGTATTATTTTCTTCTGAAATAGTTTAGAGAAAAAATTGAGGACACTGAATTCAGCGAGCGCAAGACCGCAGACTTACGAACACCTCGCCCGGTTTCTACCTTGTAGTAAAATAACTCTTCTTAATAGAGCTAAAAAACTTTATTTGCAAGATGCTGAATACAGAGTTAAGGAAACAATGCAAAGGTAAAAACATTATTCTTTATTATTATAGAATAAATGAAACAATTATATAATACTTGTATCACTTTTACATTTGTAAACTTCAATTGCTGGTAAAGTTTGTTGGTGTTTCAGGTTAAAAGCTATCATTGATAATACAATGCCTTCGGTTATGGATGCCTTTATCCAGGAAAGTCAAATGGTTGCCGATGAAAAGTAAGTATTTTTCTTAATAATTATATAATTGATCAATGATCTTTCGATAGAGATAAATGTTTGAGCTTGTAACTCTACAGAGAAGACACATGTGTTGAAAATAAGAACAAAAAGAAAAAAAGATCAAAAAGTAGAAGTTAATTCTTTAGGTTGTGTAGGATTTTAATTGGAACTCATTGTACTTTTCTATTTCTCAGTCCTCAATTATACTGGGAGATATATCGGTACTGTTGGTAAGGTGCCCCTCGTAAGAGGAAACCCTTTCTATTCTTGCCTGTCCAATTTCTCTTTCTCTTTGTCGTTCCCTTCATTTCTCTTCTGTCTTCATCTTTTTCCCTCTTAATCTTATCTCATGCTTATAAAATACATCTGCTATTTCAATTTAACAATGAAATCTCTTATTCAAATTGAATACCAGTAGTTATTTCTATATGCAAATTTTTATAGAACGATTTAAATAATTTTGAGATAGCAGAAGACCAAAGTCGGGGCTTTTTATCATCAGTATCAATATTTAGTTTTTCATTGGCATCATTTTTTATATCAAAAAAAAACGTGTGTGCAACATTTTAAATCAAGTACGTTTCATTATTCTTCATCACCGCAATACCAACATCTCCCATTTCCTAATCTATTTTCTTAACTATAATTTATAATTGATTTTTTTCAGGGGATTCGAAGGTTCGCCCGCAGCTGCCGAAAGTAGCGACGAAGAGGAAGGCTCGTGCAAAAGTACGGATAAATCTAAAATTCCGAAAAAACGATTTCCCTGGACAGACGAAACTAAGTATGCCATTTTTTTATTTCCATTTATATAGAATTTTGAATTCATATAATAATACACATTTTGCAGAAAAAAAAAAAAAAAATATTATTAAACAAATCTCGACCTCTTTTGTTTTTTTCTTTTTTTATAGGAAACTAGTATATGAAATAGCAAATGCAAGAAGACAATATTTTAAAATTTTAAGACCTAGAAAAGAAAGTATGGAGTCATTCGTGGCAACTTTTATGGATACAAAAGTTTTACCATTATGGCCGTCTGGTTATGTACGCTTACAAACTTTGTTGAAGTATTCTAATCCTGTCGAACCAACGTAAGTAATACTATCATTATATGATACACATATGCAAAAATATCTTTGCCCTTTTTACTACCACAAATTTTGATCTTAGAAAAGTATTATTATGTATTTTTTCACGCTTCGCTTTAATGCACGAGTTGTTTCTGTTTAGCTTATTTAATTTTTTTCCTCAAGGTGAAAGAAATATTTCTTCTGCATGTCCCCAAAAGTTAATATCTAATCAAGATTATTGACTTTTGCGCCAAGATATCGATCAGTTAAAACTAAATTTTATTTAAAATAATCACGGTCAGCAGATCGAAGCCTGCAACGCCAGTTGTACATCCGTCATCAGGTAGTTAGACGGTAGTTCTATTTTCTGGTCATTGTATGTTTTAGGGAGGTGGTGTTTGTGTTGGATTAAAATTACGATTTCAACTTCTCGGATTAAACTCGATATTGGAAGCTCTAATAATATTATTTTAAAAAAGAAAGAAACATAATAAAAGCTTGACAAAATAGCAAGCTTAATATTTCTAATGCATTTGTAGATAAATAATTTTAGTGCAATGTATGATAAATGGGCCTTAATTTGTCACTTCTCGCTCATCTCTCTTTTTGTACATATTTTTATTTTACGTTTAATTTTCTTTCTTTTGTATTCTTTGTACGTTCACATTGTCTTACTATTTATCATTAAAAACTTGTTTGTTTATTTATTTATTATTATTATTATTATTATTATTATTATTATTAATATTATTATTATTATTATTATTATTATTATTATCTCTATCGTATCCCCTTTCTATTTTTTATTCTACTATTATAACACGTCGAACACACTGCATAATTTGTATATATTTTATAACTATTGTATGTACATTAATATTGTTGTTATATATTCAAGGATCGGTAGATATACATAAACGTAACGTCATTATTTTATATTTCTGATTTTAGAATTAAAAGGAAAGCAAAGAAGTTGAAAGATGTTGTCAATACTAATAGTGTTTCTTCTTCTGCAAATACAATTTGCAATTCTTCTACTGGAAGGCTCGAGGCAACAAGCAGTAATAATAATAATAATAATGTTGCTGCTACTTCTGTATCTGCTTCTACTTCAACTACTACTACTACTACTACTACTACTACTACTACTCAAGAAAGGGAGAAAACTCCTACAAGTGTTGCCGCTAAGGTTGTAACTGTCGTTAATGAAAACTCTTTAAACGTTACAAACATCGGGACACTTAAATCTAACGATAATAATAATCCAGACAAAAAGCAAATAAGTTCGAAAAATAAAGAAAAAAATAAGGACAATGGTGGTAATACGGGTGGGACGCAATTTGACGTAGTGTCGTCGAATATCGTTTCGAATCCTACTACCGTTGGAAAAATTTCCGTTGTACCTACGGCACAATTAATGGCACAAAAACCAGCCAAAAGTCACTTGGATAAGTTTAATTTAATGGACTTAGCAAATAGTTCTCTATCAATTACACCCGTCAATGATTATCATAAAATACCAGGGAAGACGAACGAAGTTAAAAAAGATGTAGTCTCTATTACGGCCTATCCAGAACCTTCCAATATAATATCTAACGCTAACGAAGTTCCACAAAGTGGACATGTAACTGTACACAGACAAGAAACTTCATCATCATATCCAACAACACAACATTCTAATTATTCATTAGCTAATCAAACTTCGCCACACTCTAAGCCTGTTTCTTTGAAGCATAGAATATTACAAGATAACACGGATATTAAAAATGACAAAAGATTAGAAGATAAAGATGTTGAAATTATGAATAAAACGGATAAGAGAGACAAGAGACGCGAAAGGTGTATGGAAAGTAAGCACAAATCGCAAGACACGAAAAAACGAAGGAAAGATCTAAAATTGTTGGAACAACAAATTGGGCCACCATCCGTACACTCGGAAATAGTTGCAATACCACTCCAAATTTCTCTTTCGAAGGAAGAACAGGAACAAAGACAAATCGAGGAGACTGTTGCCGCTACAACCTATTTGAGTCAAATAATTAACGATGAAGCTTCTGCCAGGGCGATAATGGAAAAAAGAAAAGATGGCGGATATGTTATGGATGAGTCTATAGCAAGTATGGTACCCACGGAACAGGAAAAGGATGTTCAAATGGTTATGAGGTCATTAAAGGAATTACAAGAATTACAAGAAATGAATTTTTCGCCTAGTCATTCGCCGGTTAACGCGTGTGGCATTCAAAAACCAAACAAATCTAGTGTGCAGTACGTCACTTATCAAGAAGAGTATCAACGGTTGTACCTTAAAAAGGAAGAAAAATTACGACCGAAAGAAGAAGCACAGTGGTAAAGGAAAGACATTATAAATACGCTTTAAGGGCGTATATTTTAGATGATGATTATAATGGATTAGGGTCAAATGGGATACCATTGGACAAAAATGAAGAATGAACTTTTGTAGAAAAAAAAAAAAAAAGGCATTTGTCGAGATCAATTAAAATGGTCAAATGTGATTCTTCGAAACTTCTTCCATTATTATTATTATTATTATTATTATTATTATTATTATTATTCTTATTATTATTATNTACTATTATTATTATTATTATTATTATTATTCTTATTATTATTATTATTATTATTATTATTATTATTATTATTATTATTATTATTATAATTATAATAGCGACGTTTTACTTACGTCAATGGTCAAAAAAATTATAGAATGAGAGAGAGATAAAGAAAGAAAGAAAGAGAGTTTTTGACGGCTGATAATCTCATTGCAATGCGTCATATACAAATTTTTAAGCATTCGAGGAAAGCCGAGAAAAAAGAAAATAATAATTGTGTAAATACATATTGATTCGTTAAGAACAACAACGTCAAACATTACCTGTACAGAATAAGTATAAATTATGAATTTATTATAATCTATTAAGTATGTGTAAATAAGTTAGCGTCCAGTCGTCGCCGTGAATGGGGTGGCTAAGAATACAATTTTTATCTTTTTTTAAATAGAATTATTTTATTCTGTCGCTTTAATATCTTGTATCTTATGATTCTCAAAAATTGGAATCCTCGAAGGAAAAAAATAGTCGGTGGTATTGAATAAGATGAAGATAACAAAAAAAAAAAAAGAAAAGAAAAAAAAACAAAAATAAGGAATAAAGTTGTCTATTTTATATGGAATCATTTAATTGTCGTTGTGTGATTAAACGTGAGATTAATTTTTCGTCCTCGTTTTGTTTTTATAATTGCCGTGTGTCGCGTGGGTGGGATATAATGGGTATTGTAATTATAAAAAATAAAACCAATACCTTATATATGTAAGAAATATATTGAATCCTTTGGCCACCCTAAGTCACCAAGCGAAAAGAAAAGTTTCGAGTGTTGTTCCTTTTGTGCACACGAGCTGTCATCTCACGTTTACCATCGTTGCATCCGAAAAAATGCAGTGTGCCCTGAACAAAACAAGAAAAGAAATGAAAAGAAATATGCCAAGAAAAGAAAAGAAGAAAAAAAAAAAGGAATCGGTTAGATTTAATATATTTTTTATATATACTCTCTCTGCCTAAATTCATGTTGCCTTCCGAATCATTTAAAAATACAACAGACTATTACGAGAGTTCAAACATTTGAGCGAGTTACACAACTAACAAATGATCATTGTTATATTGGCCTGTGGTAAGAAGAAATAGTAAATGTAGTGTGCAAGAATTCGAATATTTCCCGTTTCCCCGAATAGATAAATGGTGCAGCTTCGTGTGCAGCTAGATCGAATGATAGATTTTAAATAGCAAACAATGTATGCGGTGAACCAATTGTGTGAGTTCAGTATTTAGAGTTGGAGAGGAAAAGAAAGAAAGAAACAAACAAAAGAGAGAGAGAGAGAGAGAAAAAATGAGTATGAAAGAGCGAACGAGTTAGAGTATTTTTGGAACACGTAAAAATGATAATTAGTAAATGTATCTAATGTGATACACATCCTCTCCCTCGTTCCTTACCTTCCCCCATCCCCCCACTTCCTTTCTCCCGCCAACTCCATTTTAACAATATGATACTTACAGTACGTTTAAGCGTCTTGTACAATTCTGCATTGAGAATTTTTACTAAGACGACTTCAAATATAAGTTTTGAATATTTTTTACAACATTTATACATGACTGTCTACCTTCCCCCCCGTTCCCTCCTTCTTTATCCGTAAACGACGAGTATTAATTATTTCTGTTTTTTTTTTTATCACTTTCTAATAGCATTATGATATTTTTTAAAAATAAGAATAAAATGTATATAAAATATAGGTCAAAAGTAAAATATTTTTAAAAGTTCGAAACCATTAAGAGACGTTTCTCGTTGCGTTACATTCCGTTGCGTTGCGTTGCATTGCAAGAATTTTAATTATCCGTGCATCCTCAGATATTCGATTTAATTGATTCGTAACAATTAATGACGAAGGCCAACTTAATCCATTGATTTCTTGGCTTTCTTTTTTTTCTTTGTAACAGATTAATCAGACATCGGTCACGGGTCACCTGTGTTCTTTCATTGAGACCTTAAGGGTTATCCATGACCTGTGCGTTATTACTGCATTTTTTAACTTATCTTATTAGATTAGACAAAAAATATGAAACTTTCGTTAGAGTCATCGTGTTAACATTCTTTGATCGGTTCACAGGATATATTTCGTTTCGTCGGTTAACCAAGGCCATTTATTTGCCTATAAAAGTCTTGTATGTTTGGTTAAAACAAGTCAGTCTTACAATAGTAAATCGATTAGAATACTTTCGGGATTGAATAAATTTTTATTCTTAATTATTATTTTTAATAATAATTTTATTTTTATTCCTAATTAGAATTTTTTCGGGATTGAAAAAATGATATTTATACGTAACGTTTTATTATTAATTTTCATTCGACATTGCGTTTGTTCCTATTACGATCCGGGTACCAATTTAGAAAAAGATAAATTGCAACAGGTTCATTTGAATAAAGAACAATCAAGTAAACAGGATAGTTCTTTGTACGATAAAGATTTGTCGGCTAATCATGAAAAAAAAGAAAATGTTGCACGTTACAACGAGCAGGATAAATCACGCGAAGGATTCGATAAAGACAGACATTCATCCGGGCGTGTTGAAATTACGAAAGAATCCGATAACTCGTTTCAAAAACACGGTAATGGTTATTACAAAAAAGGTTTTCATAATACCGGTTTTAGTAATAGTTATCACAAAGATGAGGCAGGTAATAAAACGAATTTTTACGAGGATAGCCATGACGAAAAAGGACATAAATCTTATGACAAAAACAATGATTTTTACGAGAACAATTTGAAGGATCATTTCAGAGATGGATTACACGATGCTTCTTTTAAAGAAAAAAATAAAGCTGAACATAGGAATTACGATAACGGTCAAAGGTACGTTGATTTTCATTCCTATTGATATGAATTATTTTATATACAAATTTATTTGTTTAATTGTTACCGAAATTTAATTAGATATTAATTCAGTGTGTGTATTACATTTTTTTTTTTGTAGATACGATGATTTACGCGCTCGTTACGATGAATTTCAAAATAATCACCGATACGATGACGGACGAAAATATTTTCACGACGATGTTGGAAGATATGACGATAGAAATCGTCATTATCATTTGCGAGATTATGATTATTATCAACGTAATCCATATTTGTATCAAAATTATCGTTTTAACATTCATCCGAAATATTATTACGAAAATCCAAACCATATCGGAATTTTAAGACATTATCGGTAATTTTGTTTTATTTCATTTTTTCATTTTTTATTATTCATATTAATATAATATAAAATATATTATAACATATTTTTTTTATATTATATTATATAATATCATATACATTTTTTTTGTATTTATTTATATCTCGGATTAGTTTCAATTTATTTCGGTGTTTCTCTTTCACAGCGGTTATTATCCATACTTTCTTAATCGAAAGTTTTATTATCCATATGAAGATTATTATGGTGGTTTGTATAGCAATCATTATGATATTGATTTAAAAAATAATAGACATTTGCCTTACCATGGTCGTTATTAACATTAGAAATTACGAATGAGTATTGTTCAACCATTACAAGTAGTTTCTAATTAGAAATAATTTTATTACGATTACGTATTTGTTTCTTAAATCATTTTTTAATTAGTTCTCAATAAATAATCCTTTATTGTACCACTATATAAATAAGAAAATCAAAGAATGCTAATAAAGCGGGATATGATAAAGCATCTAAAAAAAAGAAATCATTTATTTAATTAACAATTGTGAAATAAATCAATGCTTTTTTTTTCTATTTTATTCAAAATAATTACTTACGTAAATTATCTAAATCCATATTTACTGTATTATCGTAAATAATTAATTCATACATCGTTAGATACACATTGAGAGCATTTGACAATGTTCGAAAAATCCAATTGAATTCTGGATCTGCTTTAATAGAACGTGTCATTTTATTTATGATTCATTTAAAGAATAAATTTTTTAAAAAGAAAAAAGAATGATAAATAAAAAATTTCTTAAAATAATTATGGGTTTATGGTTAGTTTTTTACTATTCGTAAATTTTGTATACATTGAACTTTGATGCATATGAAAATATGCAAAAAACTTGATTTTATGTTATTGAATTATAGCGTAAAATACACACACACATATTGAGAGTTGTAGGAAAACATACTCGAGAAAGTGTAAACAAAACAAGAACTATACTAGCGTTTGGCCTTTAACGTGAATCGATTGATCGTTCAATCTCATTCATTCTTTCATTTAACTCGGAAATGTAAACAGCTTTTCAGACATTCGCGTTTGAATTCATTTGAAAACCGATGGAAATCAATGGAAATCAATATTAAGAATAAATAAAACTAATATTTTATTTTTTTAAATATATAACCGATTTGTTTTCTTATCCGATTAACATTTTGAAACGGAAAACAAATTAATTTTATTATACAATGTGTGAACCCTAATACAAATATATGATTTTGCTTGAATAAATTATAAAACAAAGATGAAACTTTACGATGATATATTTTTTAAATATTGATCAAACCCATGGGAAAATATTGAACATGGAATGTGTTATATTTTTATACACGATTATTAACTACGTGTATATTTTCTATTTCATATATACATTCTTTAATACGTGTCAACGATGATTGTTCTATCGGTGATTGTATTCTTGATACAAATAAAATCGAACAGAATCGATAATTTTGTTTAATTTGCGAAGAAGAAGAAACAAATTTATCACCCAGAAAGAAAAAAGAAAAAAGAAACATCACCATACGTCAAAGAAACGTGTGTGCATGTTATTATCTCGAAGAAAAATTATCTTCAATAATAATAATAATAATAATAATAATAATAATATTTTTTCGTATAATATTTTATTAAGAAGATTTTTTAAAAAATAAATATAATACAGTTTTTTTTTACAATCACAAAACCCGTAAGTACAAAAAGTTGATGGTTGTGATATTTAAAATAAGCTGTTAGCCATGACTGATTAACATCTTTTTAATGGTTTTATTTGTTATGTATATCTTCTTCAGAAGGATTATACCACTGCTGCGATATAATAATAATAAAATATAATAGAAGTTAATGCGAAGTCTGTTATTAAACAGTTACTGTATATAAAAGCAGTACTTTACTATGTACATTACTAGATTGTAAGAAAAAAAAGATAATAAATAAAACAAATATTCATATTAGATATCT